TCTGCTCCTGGAGTTGGATAAGGAAGTTTGAGTGCAGTGTTGCACGTGATCATTCCTTGATCCCTCCTGGGGTCAGGTGAAGGTTGAGTGCACATGATCAGTCCTTGACCCCTACTGGGGTCAGGTGACAGTCCCTGCTTGGGTCAGGTGACAGTCCCTCCTGGGGTCAGGTGACAGTCCCTTTGCAGCGCAGTCCTCTTTTTGGTGCCATGGTATAAAAGCTAGCCCCAGCAGAACAATAAAGAAGTAGCTGTTCACCTCAACCTCGTGCTCTGTGGATTCATTTAACCCGGACACCCTCTGCCGAGACTCGTGGTACCAGACCATGCTGGCGCGGTAAAGGAGGTTTTCACAGAGGAACAGCCAAGGAGTCAAAGACAGGTGATCTACAGGTCTACATGAGCCCTTGTTCCACAAAGACAATTGAAAACACTCATTTGAATGTACCACAGTATGAGTACAAACCCTGTTCCCTTTGCCCGTGTGGTCTTCTTTCCAGTGCTCTTGGAATATTCCAGTCAAGACAAACCCAGAGTTCATCTGGGCTTCACTGTGAAGCAGAAAACCAGCTCAGCCTGTGAGCCCTGAAAGCACACGTAAGATGTTCCGACACACAGAAGACCTGTCGGCATGTAGGGACATCTGCTGTGGCCTCCCTGAACTCTGGACCCCATCAAAGCTTCTATAGTCACTTGCCACCACGTCCATTCCCACCACTATGACCCGTGTCCCACACACTCAGCCCCTCCTTGGGCTCAAAACCTTCCACACATGGGAGTTTAGGGTCGGAGTGGAGGCTGGAGTCACTGATCCACAGGGCTCACCTCTAGTCTGAGCTGTTACGAGTCCTCTGACCGCTAATTAAACCCTCAGTTGCATTGGGAGGCTCAGAACTTCATCTTTGGCTACATAGGATTTGGGGCCAGCCTGGGCTGCACTCAACATTTCTCAAAACAATTTTAAAAATGTGTCCGGGAGGGAGATTCCATCCTTGATTCTCAGGAATCTGGAGGGGGTTTTAGAAAGGAAGAATTTCTAAGAGAGAAGCTCGCTCAGTGTTTAGGGGTATGCTCTGCTATTTCAGAATACCCAAGTTCAATACCCAGCATGCATGGTGGTGGCTAGGGGATCCTGTGCCCTTTCTTAGCCTCCATGGCACAATACTCTTGTGCACAGGCAGACGGAGATAGAGAAGTGAGGCTGGCAGAGAGAGACTTGGTACATTCAGTCATAAATGCGGGTCTCAATCAACTTTCTCCCCTCAGGGCTCAGGGAAGCCTGAAAAAGAGGAGAAAAAGAAAGATTGTAAGTGACAGATGGGTTGGCGGACTTCAAGGAACCCTTAAACCCAGCAGAAGTGACGCATTGGGAACTCAAAGAGACTGTGGTGGGCATGAACAGGAACTGCAATGGTCACCACCTGGGGGCTGGTATTAAGAGAAGTAGACAGAAGGTAGTGTCGCCCCTAACCCAAAAGCTATCTCTACTTGATAAGGATTATAAATGAAAAATTAGTTCAATCAAATGGAGTCTCCCTGGGGATACAAACAACTCTTAAGGACAAGTTCGTGACCTGCTGTAGATGGCCTGGACAAAAGAAACCATGGCAACTTTGGAGATTCTTATTCTCATAAGGTTTGGTTAGGCCATGTGTATACACACACACACACACACACACACACACACACACACACACCACTGGTCCTTTGCTCATGTGTTATGGCTACCAAATTTGTGTTTTTTTGGGATTCCTATATGTGTGAACATGTCTTGCATCTCTACGCGTTCCTTGTTTTTTTGTTTGGCTCTTTTCCTCTGTTTGTTATTTATGTTGTCCTATTCAAATCTGGCATTTTTGCTTTGTTTGTTTTTTTTGGGGGGGTGGTTCTCCATCTAATAACCTTGACCTCCCCAGAACTCATTTTGCAAACCAAGCTGACCTTGAAGTCACAGAGATCTGCAAACCCCTGCCTCCAGGGTTCTAGGATTAAAGGTGGGCACCCCCCCCCACACACACACACACACAAGCTCAGCTGCTTCTTATCATTCTTTAGGTGTGGTTTGTTTTCTTAGGAAAGACAGAGAATGGGTTGGGATGGGAAGGAATGTGGGGAGGATCTTACAGGAGTTGGGGGAGGGTAAGCCATAACAGAACATATTGTTTGAAAAAAAATATTTCCTCAGAGACACACGGGACTATCACAGAAAAGCTCCAGGAAAAGCTGGCAGGAAAAGCACAGGTCCAGAGATTTCTGTCTTCTGGCATTGGCTCCTAGTACTGCTCCATGGAGAAGTGGAGTTTCCTTACGCAGTTAGTCTAGGCTAGCCTCGGGATTGTGGCAGTCCTTCTTCAGTCTCTTAAAACTTGCACCATAGCCCTGGATCGACACTCAGCATTTTCATTTGCAAGAGGAATGCATTTGCTCATGGGTGCATTTGTGCTCAGGGAGTGCATGCTGAGACAGGATTACAAACTGCAGCAGTTTCTCTCAGCAAACCTTGTGTGTCCTAGTCTTGAAGTCAGGCTTCCTACTGAGCCATCTTTTCCTTTAAATTTGTTTTATTTTTTTAAATTTTGTTTGGTTTTTAGTTTTCAAAAGAAGACCTCTCTGTAGCCCCTGCTTTCCTGGAACTTACTCTGTAGACCAGGTTGGCCTCCAACACAAGATCCACCTAACTCTGCCTCCTGGGAACTGTATTCAGCCACTACCCTGCTTAAAATAATTTTTAAGACAGGTTCTTAGATTGTATGCCTGGCTGGTTTGGAATTGACTACATCAGGCTAGTATTGAAGTCACTGAGACTCAACTCCCTCTGCCTCCCAACTGTGGGGATTAAAGGCATGTGACATTTTCCCAGGATACTGATTTTGTTATGCCCAGATTGTGGAGTTTCCCCAAAAACCAACAAGGAGGCTGAGTCCTGTGTCTAAAAGCAAAAAGCCTTTATTCTTATTCAAGTTCTGAAAGACCTGGATAAATTCAGACCCCTCTAGTTGGAAGAGAAGAGCCAAAAACCTAGGATTAGCCGGTTCAGTGACTCTGTTTCGGGAACAGTTAGTGATGGGAAGAGGACTCAGTGTACGCTGGGCAGCTCTCTAAGAACTGAGTGCATCCCTAATACCCTGAACCACCTTATTAATGTATGCATTCTCCTGCCTCACCCTTTTGAGTAGCTGCTATTTCAGTTTATTGACAGAGCATCCAGTTCAGGCCTTGAGCTTCTGAATATATGCCTGATTGACTAGTTCTTTTCCCAGGTGCATTGCCAAGACATTTTTGAATTATTTTTATGACTGCTATCAACAATATATTAAATCCCAAACTAACTCAAACCCAGAGTGACTTTGGCCACATGAATCAAATTCAGCAAGGTTTGGTGATTAACAAGTGGAATATTTGTATTTATCCAAGACTTTTGAGGGGCAGTGGTGGTGGTGGGGGTGTTTTCTCAAGGAGTTCTGATTCAAATCAATAATATGATTGGATGTTTTCTGCAGAATTAAAATGACAGAGATTGAACCATCCAATCAAGTTGCAGTGTTGGGTTGGAAGGTGGAACTGAAATAGGGAAGTTGGGCAGAAAGGTGTATAAAGGTTTCTAGCGGAGCTGGTGCTGTTGGCTCGCACCTGTGATCCCAGCACTTTTGAGACATGGGCAGGCAGTTCTCTTTGAGTTCAAGGATAGCCTCATCTACGGAGAGTTCCTAAAACCAAAATTAAAAAACCAACCAACCAAACAAACAAAAGGCTTCAGGGGATCCACCGGACATACTCAGAGACCTGAGCCTGGAGAAACTGCCTGGCTCATCTGGGATAAAGAGACCTGTCGTCAGTGCTCAGAACTGGTGAGTAGATGTCTGTCCTCTGTTGACTCCTGTAGTTTGATATCAGGACCTTCAGACCGAAAAAGGACTGGAAACTTTTATTTCTGTTCCATCGTCAGATGAACACATTGGTTTTAGATGAAGTTTTACCTTCATCTCAGATGTCGATCTACGATAGCTTCCGGATTTCATTATGGTTGATTGTTTTGACCCAAGGGCTTCCTATGTTGTTCAATCAAGTTTTTCTAGAACTGTCTCTGTAGCTCTGGCTAGGCTGGAAATGAAGATCCTTTTCTCTCCGGGCACTGAGGTTACCAGCACATTCCCTCATACTGCGGCCCATTCAAATGATTGCTTTTTATTTTTATTTGTTTCCTTCCTTCCTTCCTTCCTTCCTTCCTTCCTTCCTTCCTTCCTTCCTTCCTTTCTTTCTTTCTTTCTTTCTTTCTTGTTTTTTTGGTTTTTCGAGACAAGGTTTTTCTGTAGCTTTGGAGCCTGTCCTGGAACTAGCTCTTGTAGACCAGGCTGACCTTGAACTCACAAAGACCCTCCTGCCTCTGACTCCTGAATGCTGGGATTAAAGGCGTGTGCCACCACTGCACACAGCTCAAATGATTGCTTTTATTTTTGTGGAATAAGAGCACTTGTAGACCTGTGGATCACACATATCTTTGATTCCTGGGAAATTCTTCTGCTTGAGACTCACAGCAGCAGGAACTGCAATTGTACCTTCTGTCTTGAGTCAGGCTTTAGTCTGCGTCCTTATCAAAGAGCTATGCTGTTTTGGATGTGGTCTGGCTCTGACACAGGGTGGCCAGAAAACTGGAGGAACCCACGGCCATCCTCCTCCTTGGTAGGAATTAAAGTAAACGTTGAACACAATACAAGGGTTTTTGTTGTTGTTGTTGTTGTTGTAACAAGGGTCACACAAGGTATTTTGAGGTTTTGCACATTCAGGGGCTAGCGAGGCTCCCGTGCTGCTAGTGAGGAAGTCTGGCTTTACACCACCAGAGAGGACAATGGGTGAAGTTGATGTTTCTGCCATTGCTGGGGAAATAAGTTCTAACCTTGAGTGGTTACTGTGTTGCGTGAGGGAGATTTCTCAACTTTATCCTGAAAGTATGTTTTTCCCTCAGTGCTTGCTCAGGAGCCTTCTGCCTGAAGACCCTTCATGATGAGTGTTCAGACCCCACCCACACTCATGCAGCTGGCAAGGCAGGCTCTGCTGAGGAATGAGGCCTTGGCCATCTCTGCTCTGGAGAAACTGCCCATGGAGCTCTTCCCAGGTCTCTTCAAGGATGCCGTCCATGCCAGACACACTAGGGTTGTGACGGCAATGGTGGAAGCCTGGCCTTTCCCTTGCCTTCCTGTGGGGACTTTGATGAAGACTCCCAACATGGAAATCTTCGTGGCTGTGCTCCATGGCATAGACATGCATCTGGACACAAGGTTTCGTAAGCAATAACCCAGTGTGGGAGCCTGAAGCACATGGGGCACACTGAAGAGTCTGTGGGATTGGAATAAGGGCCCATACCTGGGTCAGAGGCTTCTGCTGGGATCGTCATGCTGGAGTGCAGGGGTCAAGAAAGCTGTTGTTTGCTTGTAGTAAGGACAGTTGAGTATGGATTAGAGCTTAGATTTAGCCAGTGTGGAATGCGTCTCTCCCTGGCACCCCACAAACACTAACAATGGGACTCAGTAGATATTAGTGGATGGAAAGTAGCCAGGTCTGCATATGTAGTTCAGGGAAAATGTCCATAGCACACGTGAGTTCCTACGCTGGACATGCGGTGCTGAAGAGGCACACACCTTTCCAGGAGGGAAGAGCTGCCATTAGGGATGTGTAGTGAAAGCTGGCTGAGTGTTGGGCTGTCATGTCTGCTGACACTTTACACGTTTTACTCGCAGGAGGGAGAATCTTCAGGTGCTCGACCTGAGGCAAGTGCCTTATGACTTCTGGAGAATACAGACTGGAGCAGAGGAAGGGGACGGCCCTGCAGAGACTGTGGGAGAGAAGCAAGTTGTCAAGGTCCTTTCCAGATTTGCACTGAGCGGGCATCTGACGGTCATGGCTGACCTCGGCCTTTGGCCCAGCGTTAGGGAAGAAGAAGCATATCTCTTGCATTGGGTCATGCAGAGAAAAGGCTCTGTACAGCTCTGCTGTACGAATCTGAAGATCTGGCCTCTGCCTGTATGGACTCTAAAAAAGTTCTTTAATTTCCAGCCACAGCACATTGAGGAGCTGGAACTGAGCGTGGGGTGGGATTTATCCACACTGGCCCATTTTGCTCCCTGCCTTGGCCAGATGAGAAATCTTCACAAACTCTCCCTGACTCATGTCTTCAAGACCACTTGGGAAATTTGCAACAGGCTAGCAGACAGAGACGAGAAATGTGTCAGCCAGTTCACTTCCCAGTTCTCCAACCTCAACTGTCTGCAGCATCTATCCATAAATTGGATCTACTTTCTGAGAGGCCGCATGAAACAGTTACTCAGGTAAACAAGGTGGAGAGCTGGGTCAGCTACCAGAGCAAATCTTTCTCTTTCACTTGAAGGGGTAGTGGGTGCATGGTGCCTGCCAGTCACTGGGAACAATTATGGAGAGAGTTGTGGGTGTGGCTTGATTCAGTAGACTCCTGTGTAGCACCCGGGCACATTCACTGTTCATATAGTCCCTTTGTCTGTTCCTAGGTGCCTGACAACCCCCTTGGAGACTCTCACCACCACTGGCTTCCATCTGTCACAGCGCGACTTGAATTACTTTCCCTTGTGTCACAACCTCTGTCAGCTAAAACATCTGGACATGAGTGGTGTGGTATTATTGACCTTAGATCCCGTGCCTCTCCGAGTCCTGTTACAGAATGTGGCAGACACTCTGCAGTCCCTGGACTTGCAGGGCTGTAGGATGAAGGACTCTCACCTCACTCACCTCATCCCTGCCCTCAGTCAGTGCTCAAAGCTCACTAAGTTAAACTTGTATGACAATGACTTCTCCATGCCCATCCTGAAGGACCTTTTGCACCACACGGCCAACTTGAGGAAGTTGAGTGTGGAACAGTACCCTGCCCCTCTGCAGTGCTATGATGAGTCAGGTTGCATCTCTGTAGAGAGATTTTCCCATCTTTGCCATGAACTCATGGATATACTCAGAGCCAGAAGGCAGCCCGAGGGTATCTCCTTTGCTACCCGTACCTGCCATAAATGTGCTGCACGCTCTGTGTATGACCTGGTACCCAGACTTTGTTTTTGCTTGCCATAAGTAGAGAACATGACTTATGATTTAAGCACGTGGAACGCTTGGGGCACATCTCTCACCTGGGGTCTCAGGGCTCATGGCATCAGACACTGCAAACATTGGCTTGGATCAGAATGATGTGCAGTGAGGTGGACCCTGCAGGGAGAACAATGGGACAGTGGGGACAGCTAGAGTCCTGTGGCGTCAGAAGACAAATTTGTGTTTCTATGTGGCTTCTGTTGGTGAAACAGTGGCTTTTTCTTTCACCTGCAATCCTGGATGCTCTCCCTCTGGGGTCTTATTCAGTTATTAATCTCACTGCCAAGTTCAGGTCAGTGACTCAGGAATGGAAAATCTCTAGGATCTGGTGAGTGAAGCAGAGGTCCGGTCACATTGACGATAAAGCAAAAACTTTTGTGACACTTCTCTCACTCTTGTCCTTGACCTGTGACTTAGTGACATGCCTTTTGTGTAGTTCTTCAGTTATGTGCACTTCGGGGCACTGGGATCAATCAGAGATGGCTGAAGAAGACAACATGGAGCAAAGGGAACAGGGTTTGTGACATTTACTTTTCTTCCACATATGAGATTTTCATTTTGATAGCCTCACGCACTCTAGGCTGGCTTGAATTCTTGAGTTTTATTTCTTGCCTCACTGATAGTACCACAGTGAGCCGCCATGTCCAGCTTGCTTGCCCTGTGTCTGGAGGGCTGTGTTCCTATGGACTCTCAAACTCTGAAGTAGCCATAGTGTGTATAAAGGTGTTAAATATGTCTCTACTGGCCTAAAACATTCACTTTAAAAAAGAATTGTATTTTATGTTGTCACTTGTCTCTGTGCTGATTCATTTTTTAAGGAACTCTCCTTAGGTCTAGATTTTAGCTTTTCTCTATAGTAAGATATCAATGAAATAACTTAAATTTGCTCTGTTCTATACCTCATTGAAATAATTATTGAATACATAGAACAAGGGTTCTTTGTTTGAATGTTTTTCCTGTTCTCTAAATTGCATAAAATATCTAAATGTAAGGATTCCTCAGCTAATAATGTCTGGGCAGACGTAAAGATCTACAGATTGAGATCAGTAGTGTCAGCATTTCAGAGCCTGGCATAGGTGAATCAAGTTATCAGCCAGTGTGGGCTTCTTATGGACATGTAGGCCAGCCTAGCATACAGCATAACATATTTCCTTTAAATGGCTGCCCATGGCCAGACAGTGGTGGTGCATGCCTTTAATCCCAGCAGTTGGAAGGCAGAGGCAGGTGGATCTCTGAGTTTGAGGTCAGTCTGGTCTATAAAAGCTAGTTCCAGAACAGGCTCCAAAGCTATAGAGAAACCCTGTTTGAAAAAAAACACAAGCAAAAAACAAAAAAACCAAAAAGGAGCAACTACCAATAGATGGAGATAGCTCAGAGTTTAACAGCACATAGTGGATTTTTTAAATAAAAAAAAAAAAACTCCAAATATTCTGCAGGATTCTCTTCTTTATTTTATGTCCAGTAGTGTGGAGATGTCAGATCCCCTGAAACTGGAGTTACATGCAGTTGTGAGCTACCACATAAGTTCTGGGAACTGAACCCAGGTCCTCTGGAATAGCAGCTACTTCTCTTAACCAATGGGCCATTTCTCCAGCTCCTAGCACATGCAGCTTCTTTAGGAGGACCCAAGTTTGGATTCTGTGGCTTTCAAATGCCTCTGGAAAGATGGCTTCAGGTGATAGGACTGTTGACACATATGGGGTCCTACTTTCATATCCACAAATCCACACAATCAGCACACACACATACAGCTAATCTTAAAAATTAGTCTTCAAATCGAAAACCCGGTTTCACAAAGAAATAAGAAAATTGAACTGGCCAATTAAAATGGAGATGCTGTTTGTAGCTCTCACATTCACCCCCAGCACCACACAGTGAAGAGGACAGGCAGTTTTCAGGTGTGTGAGTTGAGCTGAATCGTTGAACAATAGTTTGTCCTGGGGTCCAGGGTTTGAGCTCCTGCAGTGTGGATGAGTGAGGAGATATCAGGAGTTGTCAGTGTAAAAGACACTTGTGGAAGGGAGCTGAACCTGTTAGCGGAGTTTGGGTGAGCCAGACTTGAAACTGAGCATTGAAGAGCTGTCCCTGTCACCCATCGGCTAGTGGTGGCTCGGGTAGAGGAGAATTTCCCCCTCTGCCCAACAATGCCTGAGGCATGTGGGAGACCTGGTGCTGTGGTCATCAGTATGGAGAGCCATCCACACCAGGTGTAACACTCAGAACAGTAGGCCCTGTACCAGACCAGGGCTGTACAACAGCCAACCTAGTGAGTGTAGATGTTAGATAGCAAGCCCCAAAACTTTGATCACAGGAGAGCTGTCCCCATTTCCCGTCTGTTTTCTGGTGACATGGGCAAGGGAAAAATGCCCTCTTCCTACTCCAAGCCCCAACCCATAAGTGTCGAGGTAGGTGGGAGAGCCGGCCTTGTGGTCATAAGAGTGGGAGAGCTATCCCTGATCCCCACCAGGGGCAGCACTTGAAATCAGCCCCTCACCTCACCAGGGCATCACGACAGAGCCAACCCTGTTAGCAGAGGTGTGAGTGAGCCAGACTTGAAATTGTGAGCATGGGAGAGCTGTCCCCATCTTCTGTCTGATGAACCAACCCTACAGTTGCGCATACCCAAACCCAGGGTTGAGTACAACTTGGCCTGCCCCAACATCTACTCTGTCTATGATCTGTTGGAGCACATGAAGGGACCTGACCATTAGAACGGAAGCTGCAGGATCTTCCCAAGAAAGGATGTCAGCAGGATGTCCAGTATGAGTCCTAGTGGGAGCCCAGAATCAAAGGCATAGTGATGGCCAGAAACCTCAAACCAGACAAATGACTCTGCAATGAATACTTGTAAGAAGTGATGTGTGGAGAAATCGGGTTACAGTGTGGCTTTCATAGTTGCACTACAATGTCCATGATGAGATTTTTCCTCTTCATCTTTTATTTAAGTGATTTTTAATTTTCCTTTTTTAAAACAATCCTTTTTTTAAAAAATCTTAAATACCAATGCCATTTCCCCCATACTCCCTCCCCCGATCCTCCCACATCCCCCACATCACGTCCCCATCTGTTCCTTAGATAGGGTAAGGCTTCCCATTGGGAGTCAAGAAGTCTCCTAAAACATTGAGGCAGGAACGAGACCTTTTTTATTTTTGTTTTTCTACACAGGGTTCCTCTATAAAATTCGTTTTTAATTTTTTCCCATTTCATTTTTTTCCTTTTTACTCTAGAATTTCATTTTATTTGGGGTGCATGTAGGGGCTGAGGGCAAATGTGAAGGGACGCCTTAAGATGAACAAATAGGATCAAGATACAAGATATGAAAAACATAGAATCATAATAAAAAATGATGGATACGTAGTCACAAGGAATCAAGCATCAATTTTGCATAAAAACCCATTCTCTATTATCTTTAAAGCTTATGCTCCAGACATATTGTTTTGTGTGTATGTGTGTTTGTTAAGACCAATAAGAACTCATGCAACAATACGATGCCTAGTGAATTCTGCCAAAACTCTTTTTCCAGCAAGGGTGATTTTAAGATTACTTATCAAATGGCACTATCATGGCAACCACTTCTTTTCATGTTTTATTTCTTCCCTGAGTATACTTGACACAAAACCTTACAATTAATTGTTTTAAGGAAGTCAACAATGACCAATATTGAAGCCATGGACATATATTTTAATAATCATACAGATTGGATGAAAGCGTGATACAAACTTATTTTGTGGCTGTTACCATTTCCATCACAAGCGTTTGGCAAAGTGTCTACCCACCCCAAGCATTGGCACATCTGGGATCCAAGGCCACACATGTGACATCAAGCATTCAGGCAACTTACATAGCCGCCCAGGGCCTCAAGTCCTACCTGATCTACATGCAGCATGGTCATGTGATCTACGCATGCCAGGGCTACTAAGCCCCCATGCCTATGCCTAGGCAGACTTTAAACGGTAGAATCGCCAGCTCCACACTCTCTTCCTGCACCCACTTACTCAGGCCTGTGCACATGTCTTTCTCTCTTTCAATAAACTCTTAATGTGGGTTTTGTTGTGTTCTTGTGATCCGTTCTCCCTGGTCTCTGGGGCAGGTAGGAGTTCACTAAACTGAGCGTCCTTTATTCCACACCCTTGTATTTCCAGAGTCTCCTGAGTGTCTGCCACATTCTTTAAAGACCACTGAGAGGCATCATATATAAACTGGACAGTAGGACACCACTCATGTCCAGATGTTTTAGGTGAAGGAGGCGCTCACACTGTAAGAAGTTATTCAAGTGTGAGTGGAAAAACTGGCATTCAGTGACAGAGGTTTCCAAAAGAGTCTTCAGGTTCCTAGGCAGAGACCAAGGAGTTAGTTCTGACAAATGATGCTGAAGACCATGTGTGATGGATTTACACAACAGTGGAAGGGACAAGTGGCCTGATGTCACTTGGACCACAAGATGGAAGTCTATGTCTATGGTGCTGCCTGTTGGATTCTGCATACTCAATTCACAGGCACAGCTGCCACTATGACTGTTTGATGGCTCAGTACACAGCTCTGCAGCTCCTTTCTTTGCTAACAGAAAGAATCCCAGTACAGCCTATTATAGCCTAGGGCGCATAAGGTAAGGTCCACCCATGAAAGATGTCAGCAGCATTTAAGACAGTTCTCACTGCCCTCTGCCTCCCATCACCCCCTCTGTGGAGAGTCACAGACCCATGACAAGTAAACATACCTGCTGCTGTTCGGAGAAGAAGAAGCAGGCAGGAAGCTCCACTCTGAATGTGTCACAGGCTGAGGTCATCACCCCAAATGCTGGATTCTTGAACTGAACAAGGAAGGGAAAGCAAACTGAGCAGTACCCTTGCTTCCTCTCTGCTCCCTGTGTGTGCACGCAGCCTGACCAGGTGCCTCTCACTCTAGCTACCTTGTCATCACACCAGGATGGACTGTGTTGTGAGACAAATAAGACTTGCTCCAGGTCAGAGCCTTCTCTTGGGGTA